CTCGCCCTCGGATCACCGCAGCTACACCAGCCTGCGCGCCTCCTCCCCGGCCCCCTCGACGGCGCATTCCTCCTCCGCGTCCTCCCACTCCTCCTCCTCTTCCTCCTCCGGCTCCTCTTCGTCGGACGACGAGTTTGAGGACGACCTCTTGGACCTGAATCCCAGCCCCGGCTTTGAGAGCATGTCCCTGGGCAGCTTCAGCTCCTCGGTGCTCGACCGGGACCTGGATTTTAACTTCGAGCCCGGCTCGGGCTCGCACTTTGAGTTCCCGGACTACTGCACGCCGGAGGTAAGTGAGATGATCTCGGGGGACTGGCTGGAGTCCAGCATTTCCAACCTGGTCTTCACTTACTGAGGCGAGAGCCGGGCCCTGCTGGAGGAGGCACAGACCCGCGTCGTCGGCAGGACTCGCCCACCCCGCCGGGGCGCTTTTGTTTCTTTTTTTTTCTGGGAAGGGGCTGGTGAGACTGCTTCTTGTGCTCGGGGAGAGAGGCGGCGGGGGAGGGGGCGCCCTCTCCTTGGAGAAAAGGCCAGCAGTCCCCTTCCTCCGGCTGGAGATGGACCCGCACACACCCCCTCCGAGAGACGAGCCTGACGTTGCTTTTTCAGAGACTGGCGGGAGCGAAACGCTGTCTTCTTCCTTTTCCTTTTTATTTCCTGAAAAGAGAGACAGCGAAGGGGGGGGGGGGGAACCACACACACCTCTGGGTTCTTTGTTACTGCCCACTTTATACGAATAAAGAGGAGGGGGAGCGATGCGTTGTGCTGAGCGCACACTGGATGTCTTGAGCATTCGCCCTTTCGTGTGAAAGAGCGATCAGAACTGCTTGGAAAAAAGGAGAAAAACAAAAAATCCACCCAAGCCCTTACAAGGTTCACGTTTGGGGGGAGAAATCCTGTCCCAGTTTCTTCTGCGGTGAGAGGAGGCGACGATGATGGGAGGAGGAGGTGGATGTGGATGGAGCTGGACTGAGATCCTAGTTAAGTGGAGAAGAGCCAGACTTACACTTGAGAGCTGTCTTGGAAATACGGTGGGGGAAAGATAATAATAAACTGAAACGGATTTGCACGTACAGATGAGGTGGCGGCAGCGCTTTTTCTCAGTCACCTTATGTCATATGTAGAGAGAAAAATAAGGCCGAAACTTCAAGAACACTGAAAACTTCCTTTGAAACAGAGACCGAATGGGAACAGTTTCTGTCATGATGTGGTACAGGGGAACTGGAGGGCGATGGCTTTTGCAAAAAACAGAAAATACTAAAAAAAAAAAAAAAAAAAAAGTAGTTTTTTTCTTCTTACTCAGAATCGTGATGGTGTTGGATTATTTCACTGGTGGGGTTTAATACAGCATGTTATCCTGTCTATCTTTTTAAGATTTCTGTAAGACTGTTGAACAGTTTAAAAAAATAGTGTTAGGATAATATAAAAGCAGATAGATGGCGCTATGTTTGATTCCTACAAAAATATCACCAGCTTTTTTTCATTCTTAACTCTTTAAAGGATTCAAACGCAACTCAAATCTGTGCTGGACTTTAAAAGAATTCAGGACCAAATTTTTTCTCAGAGTATGTATGTGTTTGTTCCTTATAGCTGTAAATGAAAAGACTGTTTTTTCTCACCGATGCTCCATCCTCGTATTGTTTTTTTTCCTTGTAAATGTAATCGGATGCCATTTTATAAGTGGACGTATTTATACTGGCCAAACATTTTTGACTTGTATTTCTTTGTCCTTTTTTGGTAGTTCTCGTTGTTACCCGCACCATTTTTATGTCTCCTTCACTGAAGGGCTAGAGTTTTAACTTTTAATTTTTTATATTTAAATGTAGACTTTTGACACTTTTAAAAACAAAAAGAGAAGAGAGATGAAAACGTTTGATTATTTTCTCAGTGTATTTTTGTAAAAAATATATAAAGGGGGTGTAAATCGGTGTAAATCGCTGTTTGGATTTCCTGATTTTAACAACAGGGCCGCTGGTTAGTATCTCACACGCGTGTGCGCGCTCACGCTCACTCACACTCTCACACACCCACGAATCAGCCCCTACTTTGTCCATGTTTACACTCCAATCTGCAGGCATCTTAAGGTGACAGCACCCCTCCCCGCCAGTGCCCGCTCTGCAGCCCCCTGCCTTCCCGGGGGAGGGGGCGGGAGGGGGCCGGGGGAGCCAGCGGGGAAGGGAAAGACTGAGGCGTATACACTGTATGCTACCGTTTTGGGGAGAAACCTATCCCGAAATGAAGTAAAGCAACTGGTGCATTTACACAGAAGGGATCCTGTACCTTTAACTTGTAAACCACATCTTTTGCACTTTTTTTATAAGCAAAAACGTGCCGTTTAAACCACTGGATCTATCTAAATGCCGGTTTGAGTTCGCGACACTATGTACTGCGTTTTTCATTCTTGTATTTGACTATTTAATCCTTTCTACTTGTCGCTAAATATAATTGTTTTAGTCTCTTATGGCATGATGATAGCATATGTATTCAGGTTTATAGCTGTTGTGTTTAAGATGAAGAAAGTGAAAACATCTTTGTACATTTAAGTCTGTATTATAATAAGCAAAAAAGAAGATTGTGTGTTTATGTATGTTAATATAACATGACAGGCACTAGGACGTCTGCCTAATGAGGTGGTTCCGTTAAGGGTTTAACTTTTTTTGTTCTTTTTGTTATTTTTTTGGTCATCCATCCTGTGCAATATGCTGTGTAGAATTTTTTTTTTTTTTTTTTGTCTAACGATCACCCACGACGCAACGTTTGGAAAGAAGAGGAAAAAAAAAAAAAAAAGATCATGCCAGCTAACCATGTCAAGTTCACTGCCTGTCAGATTGTTGATATACCTTCTGTAAATAACCTCTCTTTTTTGTTTTTTGGTTTTTTTTTCTTCGGGAAGGAAATAAAATCAGCTGGAACTGTGGGTACCCGCCTGCGTTCCCTTCCTGCCTACGAATATGCATCGTACCTTGAGCAGTGTTTTGTAAACCGATTAAAGCATCCCACTGACATAATGGTTTCGCTTAGCTGTTAATTCACAGCTGGCTTTGAGCCATACGCTCTTCTCCATGAAAAAGGAGCAGCAAACGAAAAGAGGCGTTGCTCCGGCTGTTTCGCAAAGCCACCGGCACAGGAAGTTAATGTTTGCCCTGCCTTGTCCCCATGAATTCCTGTGTTGTATTTGCCATGCAAAAATCCCCCATCAGCAGCCCCGCGCCACCCATTGCCTGGGAGGTTTCCCGATAGCCTCTTTGCATGCAGCGCCTTTCCTTTCCAAGGCCATTTGCAAATCAGACGTCTCTGCTCGCGGCCTCGGCGCATCCCCGGTACTGGCCACCCGGGGGTCGCGGCATCCCCGCCCGGGCGGTGCGTGGGGGAGGCGGGCAGGCACCCTGCTGGAGGTGTGCGCCCAAACCCTCCCGGCTTGAGCAGGTTGCTGTGCCCAGGTGGCGTGGTTAGCGATAAATTTGCTCTTGGGACTGAGCACAGGTCAAAATCGGGGAAGAAAACGGCGAGGGGTGGTGATGGGACGGTTGACAACATCAAACTGCAGCCACTTGCAGGCGACAGGCTTGGACGGCAGCCCCGCCTGAGCCCAGCTCGCTCCAGGCCTCTGCCGTTGGCTTACAGTTAACTTGAGGGGTTTTATGGTTTCCTGCGTACGTTGTTTTTGCTCTCAATTATAATTAAGTCCAGTGTTGCCAAACGGATTGTTTCTCTGGGGACTCTTTGATGACACAAGTCGTTGCCTCTGGATAGCTAAGTGGAAGTCAGGCTAAAATATATATATATTCACACAGCATTACATATGTGCAGATATACCTAAATGGGAAATATTCGTATGTTCCTTGCAAGGCAAGTCTCTCACCAGAGGAAGTACCCAGAACTAAGCCACACGAGGATGTATCACCAAATGTACTCCTTTTTTTTATAGACCATATTTCTAATGTAGTTGTTTTGGAGGGAAAAGTAGTAGCCCTTTAGCAAATGTGAAAGCTAGCAAATTCATTGCAAAGATTTTTAATGAAGATCTATGTTAAAAGAAAACGATTTTAGGAATCGCAACTGGTGTCTGACCATAGGTTTGCCTAACACCGGATCCTGTCTCGGACGTGGGCCAGAGTGGCGGGTGCCTATGAAGAGGTGCATTTCCACAGCATCGTGAGATCTCTGACTCGAGATTGCTGTAGCTGTCGTTTCCTCCCGCTGCCCCGCTGCCGCTGCCAGGGCCTCTGCCCCAGCTGGTGTGAGAGGCCCCAGCCCCGCTCCTGGAAGCTGCAACCATGCTCGTGCAAACAAGGCTAAGCAGAATTGCTCCTTCCCTGGTATGCCTTCGCCTGGCCTCTGGTAATCAGCGTGTTAGAGACTTCTTACAGCCACACAAGGTCATTGTCACCAGTGAATCCCGCTCCATTAATTTATTCTATCCTCCACGGCATCCCCTTCTTGCTTGTGGCCTCTGCAACATCTTGTCGTAATGGTGAGTGAATTTGTTTGTGTGCCAAGTGAAAAAATGATGTTTCTATTTTCTATTTTAACTTCGGTATAGATAATTTTGTCCATTCTTATACTGTGACAATTTTGTCTCTTCTTCATCTTTTGCTAAGCCACTCATTTTTACAGCTCTTTGCTGTTTCTCCATCAGCTCATCTCATAGTGCAGAGATACAGAAAAGAATTGAAGATTTAAATGAAAAATCACCATAATAGGCTGCATACGTCTGTCGCTAAAATTTATTTTTAACAGACCATGCTTCTTTGTAAATCATTAATTTACCTGCAAATTAGATGAAGACTGTTCACCTCAAGAGTGTATATATAATTTTCACTAATCAGCTCTGCCTCCCCTGTGTATCATTTCATTTCCTTCCTTGTGAAGCAGTGTGTGATGTGACTGCATGCATAGACCGTATTGTATTTTCTTTCTTTTCCAACACCAAAGTAGGGTTCCCCGCGAGTCAGCAATGCTAAACACGTTTGCAAGCTTCGTACTCCCACATTACACTTTCAGCAGATACAGCCTGACCGAGCAGAAAGGAAAGTACTGGGCTAGAGGCCTCCCCGGCCTCCCCGTTAGCTGTCGTGACGTACACTTGCATGATACATGACACAGTAGCAGCCATATGAGTGCAGAGGCTTCACGCTGGCTGATCCGCTCCCTCACCATCCTCTGCCACATCTGCTTCCACAAGAAAATGGGAAAAATACCAGGCTAGAGCTTAACCCACCTCTCAAGGGCTCTTCATTCTGCGTGTTGGATCTAGTTTTTGAATGTATATATTAGGGTTAATTTCTCCTGTAGCATAACTCCATAAAGGTCTCTGAAAAGCTTTGAAGACATTAACAAGGTATTACAATGTGACCTCCTGGATCTACACATGTTATGATCATCTTGATATGCCAGAGTTCAAAAATGATTATCCACCTCCTGCCATTTCAACCTCTCCTCTCCAGGGTCCTTGAATGAGCTCTAAACGTCAGCTATGAATTTTGCCACCAACATGAGGAAGATAAATGTCATTGTCTCCCAAGATGGGTATACCATGGCACAAAAGGTAAGTGACTTATTCAGGACTCAGTAATTACCCGGTCAGTGACTGCTCTGTTTCGTGCATTGTACATAAGCATCTCAAGGCAAGGAGTAGCATTTACTGAACTCGTAGTAAGCAACCTATAGACCACCAACAGAATTAAATCCCCTGGAATATGATTTAGGCATAACTCATAGGCATGCCTAAGCAACATTTCCTAATACATCTTTGGCTATATTATACTATTCTGAGTCACTTCCTATGCCTGTTTTCCTAGCAGTGCAGCAACTCCCAGTATCCTTTCTCCCCCTTTACTAGCTCCTCCATGTTTTTTGCAAACAAAGTTTAATTCTCCTCCCGTGTGGCAGAGGAATATCCCTAAACTCCAATGGCTCCTGTTACATCTTCCCTTTTAAGTGAGTTTATTTGAAGCAAAGGGCAACATAATAGTGGCTACTGGTGGGGTGACGTTTGTTGGTTTGTGACAGAGGAGGTTAGCTGTCCATAACCCAGCCTTGATGCCATTTGTTGACAGCTAACAAATGCTGACCAGTCTCTTCATGCACCCCTGTGTGTCCCATCCTTATCATAGGCAGTGTTAGCTTGCTTGAACAGGAGGAGGAAAAGGGCTTGCAGAAATAGGAGCAAGACTGGCAGGTCGGTTGCAAGGAGCCCATATGGGTCTTTCAAAATGATGGGAATTAGGTAGAAGTGGAAACTCAGACCTGGCATCAGCCAGGGGAGCTATGAGCTTTGAGTCCTGTTTGGCACCATTATGCCAGCAAAATACTAGACAAAATGTGTGTTATACTGGCAAAGCTATGCTTTGTTGTGTTGGTGGTGCTCCTGTAATGTAGACCTGGAAGAAAAAGGAAAACATTGGTCTTTCTTACTTTCCTCTTTTGCTCTCTCAGTAATTCACTTGGTTTCTTCCTGGGCTTCCCTCCCCAGTCTCTAGTATAAATCCTTTCTCTGACCGTGCTTCTTCCAGAATGCCTTCCTAACCTTCTTCAAGAGGAGTTTTGCTAATATTATGTTAGAGATCTAAATTCCCATTCAGTGGACCCAGGACATTATGTCTTTCCTGCTTCCCAGATCCTCTTTTTCGTCTGTTTCAGCATTCATCTCCTTCCCTTGCAAAAGGCACATTGCCTAATGTGTGGCAGTAGAATGAAAAGAAATCTAATTTAAGATGTATCCAAGATGTACCCATGCTACATTATCATCCTGAGCTTAGTCCAAGGCTCTCGGATGAGGGTATCTCTGCACATTGTCTGCCTCAAAAATAGCACCAAGCTGGGTACAAACTGTGACTGTGTTTCTGAAAACTAAATGAAAACAGCTGGTATCTAACTGAATAATTTAAAAGGCTGTTGCTCAGGTTGACTGTTTTGAACAAGTGGGATTGCTATGAAACCAGACAAGACCTGACTGCATGATCTCAGCACAGCTCACCGAAACCTGTATACTCAGGTTAAAGTCCAACCACCTTTTTCAAATGGGCAAATTCTTGATGTGTCAGAGAAAACATAATAGAGTGACTTTTTGCTGTAGCAGCCTGTCTGAAATTTGCAACTGCATGCAGCTTCATGGTCTGCCCCTCACGAGAAAGTGAAGCAAATATCCAAATCTTTCCAGGACCCCAGAACTGCTGAAGTTGTAATTAATGCCACAGTGGGACGGTTGCTAATGAGGGTACACTGGCCAGACATAAAGTGACTGATGTGCTGATGGCAGCGGGTTACACAGGACGGTGTGGGACCCAGTGAGTGGGAAAGGGAATGGTGGTTTAAAGGGGGATCTGGGCATTTCTCCAGACTTGAACACCTGGATCTGGATTGCTTTACTTCCATGAAAGCAAATTCAGATGTCTTCAGACTGGGCAGAATTTATGCTAGGGACTGCTATGATTCAGAAATGTGGCATTTGAGGTATTGCTCTTGTGATACCATTGATTCAGACTTCCTCAAGGTACCAAGAAAGGCAAAGCAATTTAACATTATGTGAGGTAGCTCCTGTTTACATATAAGTACTTACGTGCTCTAATTATATGTAACTTTAGGGCCTAATTTCCAGAAAGGGACATATTTTCTGTAAATATTCAATTGCTCCAGAAAACAATTTCTTTCTGTAATAAGAAAACAACATGATTATTTTCTAATGAAAGAACTTGCATAATTCTAGCTGTAGGGAAACGAGTGGTACAGTGGATAAAACAGGAGGTCAGAAACAGGCATCTTC